AGCTGCAAGGCCAGCACTGGCCCATGGCTGGGACGGGCTCTGAGGCCGCTCCTGTCCCAGCAGCAGCGCGGCCGGCAGCAGGGTCTGGTGCAAACACGCGGGGAGGTCCCTTGTGTGCGAGGAGCTGCCGGGGCAGCAGCAGGCGCTGCCTGGGAGGCCAGGCRTGTCCCAGCAGYGGGCAGGGACAAGGAGGCCATTGCGGGGACAGTGCCGGGAGGTCCCTTCTCTCTGCAGGGCTGGCTCTGTGCTGACGTGTGGGCGTCAGCTGGTGAGGTCACTGCTGCCGCAGCCCCTGATTGGCCAGGCGAGGCAGATGGTTGTGATGTCAGCAGCACCTCCCTGGCCAGGGTGGTTCTGCCGAGGAACCTGGTGTCCCTGCAGCCCGTGGCAGCAGCAGCCCACGCTGCTGGGCCAGCAGGAGGCTGACGTTGGGGTGCTGGTGCTGAGGTCACTGCTGCCAGAGCCACTGAGGGGCCAGCAGCAGCATCGAGGATAGGAGGGTTTGCTGAGGGTGCCCAGTGGAGGGATTGACAGCTGCAGAGCTCTGGAGGCGTGGAGAAAATCAGCTCGTTAATCAAGAGGAGGGAGATCACAGAATCACAGTATCTGTGAGCAGATAAGAGCACTTAGCATCTTGAATTTGTGCTGCTGTGAGTACAATCTTCTCTGGTGAATGTGGAGAAGGAGTAGAAACTTGCAGCAAGCTGCCAGTGGACCAGAGAGTCCAGTAAGGACCTTTTAGGCTGCTAAATTAACTCAGTGCTTCAGTGCACCTGGTGTAACAAGAGCAGTGTCATTAATAATCTGTGCTTGCCCTCCTGCTTGTGCTCTGCCTCCTGTCTGATGGGCGCGTAATGTGCTAACGAAGACACTGCTGAACTGCAGTGTGAAGATGTGGCAAAGATGTGATGAGGGAAACAATGTTGAGTGTCCCCAGCACCAAGTTCACAGGATCACAGAATAGCTGAGGTTGGAAGGAACTCCTAGAGATCATCTAGTACATCCCCTCTCCTCAAATAGGGAGACCTGCTAGAGCAAGTGGTATCGGATCACATTCAGATGGGTTTTGCATATCTCCAGAGAAGGAGACTCCACAACCTCTCTGGGCAGCCTGTCACCCTCATAGTAAAGGAGTTCTTCCTCATATGGAGATGGAAATTCTTGTGTTTGAATTCATACTCCTTACTCCTTTTTCTGTCTCTGGCCACCACTGAGAAGAGTCTTGTCCCATCCTCTTTACATTCTCCCCTCAGGTATTTGTACATATTGATCAGATCCCCTCTCAGTCTTCTCCAGACTAAACAGGCCTCCCTTACTCTTTCCTCATATGATAGATGCACCAGTCCCTTAATCATCTATGTTGCTTTATGCTGGACCCTTTTAGACGTTCCATGTCCTCCTTGCATTGGAGAGCCAGATCTGCACCCATACTTCAGATGTGGCCTCTCTAGAGCTGAGTAGAACAGCAAGATCCCCTCCCTCCACCTGCTGGCAACACATCTCTTAATGCAGGGCAGGAGCTCATTGGCTTTCTCGGCCACTAGGACAGATTGATGGCTCATGGTCACCTTGTCAAGCAAGAAAACCCAGATCTCTCTCCATGGAGCTGCTTTCTAGCAGGTCAACCCCTGGTGCAGTAAGTACAGATTGGTTCAGTATGTATAGAAAGGAGGTTTGTACTGATGGAGCAAACTCTGCAGTGCCCGAGACCTGGAAGAAGCGGCGATGGCTGTGCAGGAATGACACATAAGCATTTGCTGTGTGAGATGACTCTGTGGTACCACTATCTTGAACCAATCTGCAGGAAGGACAAGTTACCCAGTGTAGAGGTCCCTGGTCCTGCGTAGCTTGTGATCAGGACATCCTGAGACCATCGTTAGACTCGCTGTTCATATCCTTGTGTTAGGAAAGCAGACATTGAAGAAGAGAAGAACTGGAAGTGTTTCTGAGTGCCAAGAGCAGGGCAGAGCCCTTAGTGTGATGTGTCTCTCTGCTTTATGAAGCATGTGTGGCTGTAGAAGGGAGGAACTTAGCCTGAAGGCAGTGGAGGGATTCATTTGTTTGGGCACTGGTAGGAAACCTGAGATGCCCTAGTCCTCCAGCCCAGAAAACTCTCCAAAGGGACATGGCTTCCAATAGACCCAATGTTGTGCGTCCTGGAAGAGACAAGAGTGGTTATGCTGGACAGCGCAGGCATCTCTCTTGGCCCTGCAGCTTTGTCACTGAATCGAATAACTACATTGAAATATATTAGCTTTTTACACTGTAAAGATCTGCCAGGGTCTCTGCTTTATACTGCAAGGTGCTCACATAGCAGTGGAAGGGGTCACTTGAGATGGCTGAGGACATTCCCCTCCTGCCCTTCTCCTGCAGCTCCATGAGGATGCAGGTCTCACATTTGCTCCTTCAGAGCAAGCAAACAGAGGCACCTTTGTGGTATCTCCTATGTCTCTTCAAACAGCTATTTGGGTGTTGTCTGCTGACTCGCACCCTCCATCACCAGCAATTACAAGGGGAGCTTAGAGAAGGAGCTCCCATGCACATGTCAGTGCTGTGCACACTTCAGCGCAGGTGAGCAGCATCCCACCTCCTGTGTGTTTGTGGAGTTCACGGGAGGAATGTGAAAGCCATCCCAGAGCAGGGGCTTCTGAACCAGCATGGAATGCCCAGACTGACTCATCTGAATTCATGAGCTCCTTTCTTGTCCCTTTCTGGGTGTCCTGCCTAGTAGCTGCTTCCTAAGTAGAGCCTTCCAGAGTGGGACATTTCTAACTTGCAGAGATAGTCATCCTCTGATGAAATGGACTGCAATTTTGGAATCCTTCTTTCTCTACTCATTAGGACAGGACCACAGGTGTGATTCTTTTGGTTTCCTTCATGCCCATTTCCCTGGAGGAGGGAACACAAGGGACAGGGCAATTGGTGAGTTCAGCTGGGCCTCTGCTCCTGAGCAGGCCCAGGCTCCTGGGATGGAGGCAGCTCGTGGCAACCTGTGAGCCCTGCCCAGAGACCCTGTGTGCAGGAGCAGCTGCTGTGCCAAGAGCAGCAGGGCTGCGGGCACTGCCTGCTGCTGCGCACAGCAGAGGAGAGAAGGCAGCGAGAGGTGAAGGGCAGTGTGGAGCGGGAGCACAGAGGAGATCTGCACAGCTCTTGACATGGTGAGTTTTTGCTAACAGCACAATGCTACTGAGCTTCTTGAAGGGGACTTCTGAACCCATCCCAACCCATGGCTGACAGCAGTTTTCACTTCTTTCTCCTGCCTTTTCCAGTGCAGAGGAAGAGGAGCTGCTTCAGAGCAGGGATTCTCTAACATAGCACATAGGGGCAGGGCATCCTGCTGCCTTCCCCAACAGAAACAGCAGTGATGTGAAGCTGGGCTGTGCAGACAGGGTGAGAGGTTGGGTCTTCAGAGCAGRGTCCCTGCACCCAAAGGTGCAGAACAGTGACTCTGTTGCTTGTGAAGGTCAGCACTGAGCCCACCCAGGGAGCTCCCCACAGGACTGAGGGGAGAAGTTCTGGCTGGGAGGATTATCCTCTACCAGGACAGGCTCCTTCTCCTGCTGGGAGGCTGCTGTGTGGGTCAGGTCTGCTCACAGGTCTAGCTGTGAGCACATTTCAGAGGGCATAGAATTTCCTTCCACTTCTTCGGAGGAAAATGGAAATGGAACTGTTAGCTTTGGGCAACAGACTGGGACTCCTTAAGAGTGTCAAGGACCAGCCAGTGAATCTCTCAGGGACTTCAGAATGTCCCCTCACCTATCCCTAATCCATAGACTGCACCAGCTTCTCCTAGTCTGCTGCATCAGGGTTTATCTGATCTGCTCTTTAGCACCTGTACACATGGGGATGCCCCTGGACAGTCTCCTGCTATTGAGAGTTTTCTGCAGGGYGAGCAGAGCTCGCTTGYGAGCSTGGTTGTCCTTCATCTGAGTGAGGTGCAAGGCTGCACTTTTCTGCTCTATCAAAGAATGTTCCCACAGTGGGGAACCTTTGTGTGTTCATGTGTATACCATCATATATATACACTCATTTATATATCAGCAGACTCCTCCACTGATCCTCTTGGAACGTAGACTTGATTTCCAAATWTTGGAGAGCCSTGCCTGAGAAKGGTGGACTTTTTCTCCTRCAAGTKGTATGCATCAAAGCTACTCCTTCTCTCTGCAGTGCCTGGAATAAGGGAAYGGATATTACGGTGGTATGAAGACAAGGTCTRCTTCTAGGCATCTAGACATCTAGAAAGGGTAAGGTCAATCCTTGTTCCCATTTGACTGTTTTTCTCCCTTGCTGGGGTGGGATCTAGTGTGACAGATTCAGATAAAGATATCTAWGTTGAGGAGGAAAAGATTGGTGGGAATGAATCCCTCACAAAGCTCTTSTCCTTCAGACTARACTGGTGTGAGGGCTGTATGCAGCTCTGGTCCTGCTGAAAGGAGAATATTCCCACTGTGTCTCTTCACCAAGTCCCTTCCAAGCAATGGAAGATGCCATTCCCAGGCATTTCCATAAATACAGTCAAAGGGTAGTTGGACACATCCATTTACACTTGCAGCACAGCAGAAACAACTGCTTTGGAGCTAGGATGTATCACRTGCTGCACATGACACACTCGGCTATTACAAAGTGGAGCAGCAGAAATGGAGCAGAAATAAGGTAGAGAGGAAATGTGGGAAGTTGCTGAGAAACTGAAAGCGTTTGGCTCAGACAAGCCTGCTCTAACTTTCTGACTTCTTTCCTCATTGGACAGTACTCCCAAAGGAATTAATGTCCAACAGCAGTTCCCTCAACGAATTCCTCCTCCTGGCATTCACAGACAGGCGGGAGCTGCAGCTCTTGCACTTCTCCCTCTTCCTGGCCATCTACCTGGCTACCCTCATGGACAACGGCCTCATCATCACAGCCATAGCCTGCGACCACCGCCTCCACACCCCCATGTACTTCTTCCTCCTCAACCTCTCCCTCTTTGACCTTGGCTCCATCTCCACAACTGTCCCCAAATCCATGGCCAACTCCCTCTGGGACACCAATGCCATTTCCTATTCTGGATGTGCTGCCCAGGTCTTCCTGTTGTTCTTCTTCTTAGGAGGGGAGCTTTTTATCCTCACAGTCATGGCCTATGATCGCTTTGTGGCCATCTGCAGACCCCTGCACTATGGGAGCCTCCTGGGCAGCAGAGCTTGTGTCCAAATGGCAGCAGCTGCCTGGGCCAGTGCTTTTCTTAATGCTCTCCTGCACACTGGGAACACATTTTCCATTCCACTATGTGAAGGCAATGAGGTGGATCAGTTCTTCTGTGAGATCCCCCAGATCCTCAAGCTCCCCTGCTCACACTCCTACCTCAGGGAAGTTGGGCTTCTTGGAATTAGTGTCTGTTTAATATTTGGCTGTTTCATTTTCATTGTGGTGTCCTACTTGCAGATCTTCAGAGCTGTGCTGAGGATGCCTTCGGAGCAGGGCCGCCACAAAGCCTTTTCCATGTGCCTTCCACACCTGGCCGTGGTCTCCCTCTTTCTCAGCACTGGCATGTTTGCCTACCTGAAGCCGCCCTCCATCTCCTCCCGAGCTCTAGATCTGGTCGTGACTGTTCTATATTCAGTGGTGCCTCCAGTAATGAATCCCCTCATCTACAGTRTGWGGAATAAAGAGCTCAAGGATGCCCTGAGGAAATTGATCTCATGGACTTTTTATCAGCAGTGGTAACATTTCCATCTCTCTGGACCAATAACTCCTTCTGTATCCCTTAACTGGACTGAGCATTGTTCCTTCATGTTATTTTAATTAYRGATTTTATTATTAGTATAAATTGTTATCATATTGCATCACATRTACTTGAATTCATTCTGCTTTTACCAAGACTGTTGGTTCTTACCTGGTACCTTGAATTGTACTGAATGTTGTATTAGGATCAGACCCCTCACTGGGTCTCTGTAATAAAGTAAAATCTACACAGTGGACCTTTTTYCCAAAGATGGCGTCAAAAACGTGCCTAGGAAATTGCACCTCAGAAGGGCCTGCTGAACAGGCTTCTCCATGAGTTCCAGGGCAAAACCTCATAATTGGACAATGTTCTCTTTAGAGACCAAGATTTTCATTTAGGATTTCTCCAGAGTTGTTAGCCTTGTCCAACCTGTGGTCTTCCATCACTATGTCTATCAGTGCCAGAACTTTGATCAGTGTCAGAGCTCTTCCAACTCATAAAGTGGGATTTTCTCAGTGCAGTGCTTGTGGCTTGGGCTCTTCTTCCAAAGCTGGAGCCAAGAATTTTCTGCAGGACATTCACCCTGAAACGTTAGGTTACTTTCGTGAGGTGTTTATGGGCTGAAGGCATTGATCTCGGGGGTGATGTGTTTGTGAATGAGGATTGTATTCATCTCTCACTTGGGAGTCCTCAGCGCTTGTGATCATGGTGAATGCTCAAGTAGAACCTGCCTAGGAGCATCTCCCTTATGACAGGGCTGGTGGCCGATGGCTATAGTTCAGCTCTTGCAAGGAAAGGGAGGGAGCTGCAAGAGCAGGTCATGCCACCTTGTAAGTCAAACACTGCTCTGGACCTAGGGACACATTTCACCATCGCCTGTACCATTTGAAAGACCCGTGATGACTCAGAGGGATGGGATCCTCGAGGTAGGGGTGGCGGCAGCTCACACACTCGTAGGCCAGTGTCCTGTCCTTCTGAAGCTGCATGGACCCCTGGGACATCTTCAGGCTTGTCCTCTTCCCTGGGACACCCTGGGACACCTGGGTCCCTCTCTCCAGAACAGGCGCAGGCAACACTGGGCCCACATGCCCTGCCAACAACAGGGACAGGGGCTGTAACAGCTGTGTTGTACCTGCAGGGAAGAGTGTGGGCACAGAAGATTCAGTGGGTGGCACCACCAGACCTGGGGCAAGTACCACTGATGGAGATGGTCATTTTTGGGACAGGGATCTGGGACAGCTAGGATGGAGTCTGGCACTGCCAGGACAGGAGCTGGCATCTCTGGGACAGGG